TATAGAAGCATTATTCATAATATTCAGAAGTTGGAAACAACTTTGATGCCCCTCAGTCAAAGAGTGGATAAAGAAAATGTGATGCGGGGCTGGAGAGATGGCTCAGTGGTTAAGAGCATTGCCTGCTCTTTCCAAAGGTCCTGAGTTCAATTCCCGGCAACCACATGGTGGCTCACAACCATCTGGAATGAGGTCTGGTGCCCTCTTCTGACCTGCAGAGATACACACAGACAGAATATTGTATACATAATAAATAAATAAATAAATATTTAAAAAAAAAAAAAAAAAAAAAAAAAAAAGAAAATGTGATGCATTTACATAATGAAGTATTCATCAGCAGTAAAAAGACATCATGAAATTTGTAAGCAAATGAATGGGACTAGAAAAAAAATCAGCTTGTGTCAGGTAACCCAGTCCCAGAAAGACAAACATGGGTATGGAATCACTCATAAATGGATATAAGCTCTAGTCAGATTTAAATCCATACAAAAGTTTGTTGAAAAGTGTTTGCTCATTTGAATAGTTTTTATTAAGAACCTGAAGATACCTTACAATTTGCTTTCAATATATCACACTTGAGCTTCCTCTGCTAATCCTGCTCCTGCCCTCCTCCAGGATGCAATTTCATTTTATACATAATCTTTGTAGGATGGTATAAATACTTACATCTTCCAAGGATTTTGTAACTTTACAAAGTTATGGACACACCATATACTCAGCAAAACTATTAAACCTCTATACTCACCTCAGGATTTTTGGTAAGTTCCATGCCTTCCTGAAGTCAGTAGTGAACACTGTGCTATCTCAGTAAACTTGATAGCAATCATTTCTTTCCTCGTATTTAATTTTCTCAGTAGTTCTCTGCAACTGATTCTGTCCTCCAGTCTTTAATATCCATCAGGACTTTGTACAGTGTTGAAGTATTATTTCTCATGGCTCATATGAGATAGTCATCATGGACTGATTAGCCTTCTACTGCCTCAGTTCATGTACCCTATATATAAAGGGGGTTATGTGGCCATGGTGCTCAGAGTATTTGCCCCCACAGCTTACAAAATTATTTGTTTTTAATGGTTCTGTCCCACATCCAGCAAAATCACATAGCAGGCTGTTTGAGATTAGTTCTTTGCTTGTTGAAACTTTTCTGTAATTCCAGCAATTTGGGTACTGAATTGTCTTTGATGAACATTTTCTCATATACCTAAATGCAATAAAGATTAATGTCTGTTTTCCTGGTCATGGATTTTCTATTTATCTTTATCAAATCAGGTCTCAAGGTGTATCTTTTGCTTTTTCTATGTTACTTCCTTCCTATTGCTACAAAACATCAATGAGTTATAGGAATAGGGTAGTAGATGCTTCTCTGTATTTCTGATCTAATTTGATCCATCTTAAACCTTATCCCCCATAGATATAATAAACACTAGCAGACACTTCCTTTTATTTCACTCAATATACCTACTGTATTGAAAACTAATAGCAAATTGTCAGCTTCCCAGACCTTACCTGATGCAATTCCTACATTATACAAGCATTATTAGTCAAAGCTGACACTCACTAAGAGACACATCTCTCATTATGCACAGCAATATCCATGTTGTTTCCAAAGACACTCACAGATACTTCTGGACCCTAATGTACCATTTCTAGGCAGAAACCAGTCACACACCTCTTAATCGTGCCTTCCCCTTCATACAAACAGAAAAAGACATCTGTGCAGTGATTTCACTAATGTACAATCACTGTCTCAGTGGCCTCACCTTAGTAATGCACCTTTCCATATTATTTTACCAACATCTCTACTACAACCCTTCTACTCCATTACAAGGTGAAAAAAAAACATATAAAATACTGTCTGTAATCGCCACTAACTTATGCACAATATTTTCAGTTATTTTTCTCCTTTGCCATGATCAATAATAACATAATTGTTCTAGCCATTCCCGCTGGTAGTTTTGTTGTGTCCTCCAAACTACTTCATGTGCTGATAATATCCCTTCCAATAGAGTGAAGGAGGAAAGTAGATGAGACCAGGCCCATGGCTCAGTCATCCTCACCAAAATCGGGTCTATTAGGTGTGCACGAGAAGAAGGGCATAGCAGATTTCTGAATGGCTCTCAGAGGCCGTGAGAAGCTCTGCCATGCTGGGATGGGTGGAGCAAGCAGGCACTGCCATATTTCCCTAGCAATGGTGAAGCTTACGTTTTTAAGAAGCACTTCACATCTTAAAAAGGGCTCCTGGACAGTAAAGAATTACATATACACAATATAACAGATTCAGACATAAAGGACCTCTAAATGGGTCACAGTGTTGGATAAATGTATGTAGGCTTGGAAAAGAAGAAAAATAATATAGACAGTTATAAAAAGAAGTAAATGGTTTAAAAATGTAGTCTTTAAAGGGACAGAATACAGATAGTCATAGATTAAAAGAGTAAAGATAATAAAATAAATATTAAAATGTAATAGAGTAAAAAAGCCATGTAAAGATGTAGCATTCACAGAGAGTCTGGATTATGTATACTATTATGTTTTCTTTGAATTTTTGACTGTGTTTTAAGAATTAAGACGTTTCATGATATTAAGACACATCTGAACCTGGAAGCACCAAGCTACTTTAAGAGGAAGAAGGTGTCAAAGAGGATTCTTACGAAATTTGTTAGCCATCTGGGCAAGAAACTGCTCTTTCCTGGACTGTTGGTGGCATGCTATGTGAACTGGACATATAGAATGCACATAGAAATGATTGCTGAACTTGCGTAAATGTAAGACTATCCTTCAGGGTTCCTGTATCATAAAAGAGTCTGCAAGACATTCTACAGGGCACAGAAAAAAATTACTGGCAAACTGCCAATATAGGCAGAAATGTCTTTGAAATTATGTGCTTCATAGAAAATTCTGCTGGACACTATGGGCCTGTAGGCTGAAGATAATGCCCCAAAGGTATAGAAGAGCTTTGGGTGACTATTCAGGTCAACTCTAGAGTTTTGAAAGTTGCTTACAATGCACTTCCTGTTTACTTAGATAATATTATATCCATCTGGAGTATTTGATAGAGTTGAAGAATAGATAGACAGTTATAGTTATAGATTTACTTAGTTATGATAAAAGATAAATTAGATATAAATACTGTACCTAATTACTTAAACATAAAAATCAAGGTGATATGGCATTCCCCTCTGTATGCTGTGAATAACATTGGTAAATCAAGGACTGCTGTGAGCCTATAGCAGAGCACGGCCGAAAGAGCTAGAAGGTGAAACTAAAGTAAATGAAAGAAGGGCAGAATCAGAGAGAAGCCATGTAACCATGATGGACACAGATGCTGGAACTTTTCTCAATAAGCTACAGCCTCGTGGCAATGCATAGATTAATAGAAATGGGCTAAATTAAGATGTAAGACTTAGCCAATAAGAAGATAGACCTAACGGGCCAAACATTGACTTCAATAATTTGGTTTCTGTGTGATCATTTTGAGGCTGAGCGGCCAGAATGACTAAGTGGCCTTCCTTCAGCAGGTGTGAATAATATGTTTAGCATGTTTTGACGCTCCTTTCTAGTGTTTGCATCTGCGTTTTTCCAGCTCAAATAAGGAATGATCATATTTCTTTGGCAATATTGGTAACTAAATGTGCATGGTCTATATTTTTTCACATACACCAGATGTTCCCATTTGTGTGGAACAAGTTCTAAATTGTTAATTGCTTGAATCTGTCAAAGTGTTGGTGTCTTCCTGCTCTTGCAATTTATTTTTAAGCAGAGGGAAAATGAAGCTGTGATGTGGAAGGAGAAAACAGAAAAAGAGGTCTAAGGGAGGTAATTTTGTTCCTGATCCAGAAAATCACTGAGCTAAATTTGGTGTGGTGGATAATCATATAAACTACACTACTTTTCATTTTCAACATATTCAGTTAGCATATCAGGAATATGATACATACATATGAAATGTGATTCCACAAAAGAAAATCTACTTTAAAAAATAATGTGATGTTATTTTAGTTTCTTACAATACCAAGGTAGGAGAGAGAGAGAGAAAGAAAAAGAGAATTTCATAGATATTTAGGTTCTTCTTTTTGAATTCCATTCAAATATGATTATTTTAATAAACCACCATTGCTGACAGTCCTAAAAATCAACAGACTAAATTCTATGATACCCAGAAGTTTTACCAATTTTCCTCTTGCCAACACTTTTCCCATTTTTTCTACTACCAGGATATCTCATTGTACTCAATACCAAATATGGAACTTTATTTTCCACAATAAAACCAAGTACCTTAATTGTGCATGGCCTCACCTGTATTCTTCATCACCCCACAAATAAAAACTTGTCTATTGCTCAAGGTTGAGGAGAGTAATGAAGGCTGAGCTAGTCTGTATCTCCTTCTAAGTTCATCTTATTGTTGCTCTGTTTTATTTCCTGACTACTCAGGAAAACTTCCCTCATAAATATAGGCAATTTTGTGAAAAGTTTCAGTTACTTTTCTTACCTTGGAGTCTATTTGATAATAAAATAGTTAAAACTGTAAAAAGGAAGAAAATTAAAAATCCACATCACCAATGACAATGGGCAGAAAATAATATGACATAATAAACAAAATGAAACCCTCTAGCATGGAGAAAATATGCCATCTCTATGGAAACAGCAATTATTCAGATCTTTAAAGGACAACACTTCCAGGTATTAAATATTAACCAGTAATTTTATCCCTTGCCATCTTCACCTCACATTGTCCTGGAAGGTTTCCTCAAAGCAGTATAGGGAAAATAGATACTACACATTTCTTGTTCTTAGATGTCTGGTCCTCAAGGCAAACAGATTTTTACAATTTTTGAACAAGGGTCATAACATTGTATAAAATAAAGCACTCAGTAATCTCAAATGTACTTAAGTAAAATAACCAGCAAATTCCAAGATAAAAAAGTAGACTTCAATCTAAAAGTTTACTTGCGTAATCAACAATCACAAATGAAAACAGAAAGTAAGTCGTTTTACAATACCTTAAACTCAGGGAAGGTGTCTCCTCCAGTGTCAACTTCTTGGGATGCAGAGAGGAAGTCAGAAGCTGTATGAGAAATAAATAACATAAGTTAAAGGACAAAATATGGATAAATAGAAGTGAGTACTATTAAAGCTATAAACACTTATTTAAGATTATTAATAATATGCATTTTTATCTAAATACAGCAATTCATTGAATATAAAGCCAATAATTTTTAAAGCTATTTAGATGCTAAATGTATCCCACACACAGTGAAGATATATTACTTGATGGTCTACAATCAAACTCATTATACTTCATAAGGAACTGCCATTAGATGGCCAAGACTGAAATAATATTCAGGTAGAAGAGTATAGACAGGGAACTAAAATTTTCACTTATATTTCAAAACTTGGGACAAATTAGTTATCATCAATAGTTATATCAATATGGTATATAGTTAAATATAGATTAGTGAAATGGAATCAGGTGCATCAAATGAACATTCAAATACATTTCTGTACATGTTTATGTTTGTGTAATTGTTCTACTGTATGTCCACAGTTATACAGAGACAAGGTCAACATCAGAGCTCCTCCCCCATTCAATTGCAGCATAGTTTCATTGAGACAGAGTCTGTAATGTATCCCAAAGCTCACCCACCTGTTATATTAGTAGATCAATTCTGGTATTATAATGGAATTGTGTGTGTGTGTGTGGTGTGTGTGTGTGTGTGTGTGTGTGTGTGTGTGTGTGTAAAATATCACTGAATTTCAAAAAAACTTTTGATATATGCAGATGACATAGGCATTTTCAAAACCATTGGGACAAGTGGATACAATATGAAATCTGAGTTTCTCATTCAACAACACATAAAGTACATCGAAATTTCTCATGTACCAAAACATATCTAGACATTAAAACTTAGGAAAGATGGCTATTCATTATGAATTAACTATTGTCACATTAGTAAAATAATTGGTAATATGGAGGCAGAAATGTGTGAAAAATATCATAATAAACAAAACTATGTATTCTGTAAAATAAATCATATACTCAAACAGGCATGGTGACACAAATAGAGGATTTTGATGGAACAATAATTGCCAATTAGTTAAGGTGTTGGGAGAAGACCCAGAATAAGAAAAGGCAGTGTGCATATAAGCCCCATGTGTCCATCACCACTTATCTCTTAAAATCCCTCACTCTGCTAGTTCAATTTCCCAGTGTGATGTCTCTTATTTATTATTATAAATAATAATAAAGTGATACCAAATAAAACAGCAACTACCATTTAATAATAGACAAAAATGAAATAAAAAGTCAAAATCTAATACAGGTCCTGACATACCTAAAGAAAAAAAGATAGGTCAATCAAGAGAGAGACTCAAGTATTTTAAGACATTATATTGAATAAGTTAGAACTGATCAGAAAATATAAAATATTCCACCACTCTAAATTTAAAAGATAAATATGAGAACTGTATACATTATCTTATGTTTTGCCATTTCTGCAAAGCGGTTCTATTAAAACCGAAGAAGTAAAATTACAAAACAAATGAGTAGGAACTCTAAGAATGTTCAAAATGACAATAAATCAATATTTTACATTCTCTCAAAATGATCAAATACTTATAAATTATGTACATAGAAAACAGGAAATTGCACACATTTTGGAAGATAATCTGTCCAGCAGAGGCCATGGCTACCTGAGAAGAACATCAGAGCCAGTCAGGAGAAAACGCCATTCAAATTGTTGATAATGGAGCTCAGGAGGCTACTAAGATAATTGTCTGTTGTGACCTTGGTTGCTTCCACAAAGTGGAAGTTAAGTCCCTTTGCTGAGACACTGCATTTTTGTTCTGGAACTATAGATTTTTTTTTTTATTTTTATTTTTATTTTTTTTTAAATATTTATTTATTTATTTATTATGTATACAATATTCTGTCTGTGTGTGTCCACAGGCCAGAAGAGGGCACTAAATCTCATTACAGATGGTTGTGAGCCACCATGTGGTTGCTGGGAATTGAACTCATGACCTTTGGAAGAGCAGGCTATGCTCTTAACCACTGAGCCATCTCTCCAGCCCCCTGTTCTGGAACTATAGAAATTTGAACAGGAACTACATAAAACCCTAGGCCTGAGGATTAGCTATCAGAGACCAAATGGTATCAGGAAAGCTGTCTAGGAATAAAAGGATTGACATGTTCAATTTAGTTATGATACCTTTAAATAACAATGACCAGCATGGCAAGATTTCACCAAAGGTGAAATACTGGCTCATATATCTTATCAATAACTAAAATCTACCTAATTGAACTCAAGTCTTCCTTAAGAAGTGGTAAAGTGCCGGGCGATGGTGGCGCACACCTTTAATCCCAGCACTCAGGAGGCAGAGGAAGGCGGATCTCTGTGAGTTCGAGGCCAGCCTGGTCTACAGAGCTAGTTCCAGGACAGGCTCCAAAGCCAGAGAGAAACCCTGTCTCGAAAAAAACAAAAAAACAAACAAAAAAAGAAGTGGTAAAGCATGTTGAATATTGCAAATCACAAACATGACAGGGTTAGTTACTCCATTAGGAGACCCTTACCACTACTTTCATAAAATTTTATAATATCTAACAACATTAGCACTTTTTTTGTTATATCCACAAAAAATTTTAGAAATAGCAATCTACAAGTAATATTTATACACTAGTTTCTGTGTGTGTGTGTGTGTATAAATAGACTTGTGTGTGCAATACATAATAAAAATAATGAATTAGGAGGTAATGAATTCGAGAGTGGGGTGATGACTACACAGCAAAAGTTTGAGAGATAGTGATGTGGAAATTATGAAAATACACAGGATTTTATTAAATTCTTATATTTTTAAATAAACTATGTCTAATTAAAATGAATTGAATATAATACCTACAGAAATAGTAAGACATATACAAAGTATTTTGATTTATAAATATATAGCAAACATGCTACTACATGAAAAGATAAAAAAAATAATGGAATGTTACATGCAAGAAACTGGTAATTGGAAAGGAAAGCAAAAAATAAAATGAGACTTACAGGACCACAAGCTAGGTGTGATGAGTGTGTCTTCAGTGAAACCTCTCAGAAGCTAGGGAGAAGCACTTCCTCCACTCCTGATTCTGAGATAATAATGAGCAAACTTGTGAGACCCTACATCAGGATCATAAAATAAACAAGATTAAATATTGAGAAACTATAAAACATCTACACTTAAACAAAAAATTATTTTCATATGATTAGTAAGATCTACATATAGTTTAGAAAGGTCCAAATTACTAGACAAGTAGTTTCAATAGTATTATTATAGCAATATAGAGATTACAAACAGTGGGTATATAATACTCCATATATGCCATTCTTCCAATGATCAACATTTTTTGAAAATTTGTATAGAACACAAGAAATCCAGTATTGATGAAACTGTCTTGATAATAAGACCAAGGTCATTCCACTCATACTCCCTGCTTTCAGACGTACTGATATATAGCATAACACACACACGGCTATAAGCACAAACATATCTGAGATAAATTAAGGGCTCAAAAATGTCATGTACTACTAATCATTTAAATCATCTTATAAATTGCCCAAAGAATAAAATGGGATGAATTTGAAAATAAACTTGCACATCACAAAGATCACCTGTTCTCTTTAGCTAGGATAGGATATACACCTACCAGAATAAATCTTACACTAGCCTCATTACAAGATTAGGACCCATAGAGAAATGAGATCTGCCAGAAGTCTACTGTTCCCATCTATAGCTGTGTAGGCCTGACCAGCTCCATCTATGTTGGCTATAGAAATAGACCAGGAAACACTCCACCTTATTTACATGGAAGAAGAATTACTCTTCATTCATTCTTCATATTACAGGGATTCCATCATCTTGCAGGTAGAAAATTTTAGGGTTTGCCTCCACATTCTAAATATGCAAAATAACAAAAACAAATGTCAATTAGCCTGCTCTCAATATCTCCTAAACTGTCATTTTCAGTTGCTGTGACTCAGGAAATCTTGTACAAAAGACATGATCTTTACCCTAGCTTTCCATATTTCCTCAAATACCCAGCATATTCCAAAATAAAAAAACAGATATAATGCAATCTAATTGTTTACATGAGTAATCAACAATCCAAAATGAAATCATGAAGTAAGTCATTCTACAATACCTTAAACTCACCGAAGGTGTTTCCTCCAGTGTCAACTTATTGAGATACAGAGAGGAAGCATGGCTTGAATCAGACTCTTACTGAACAGCACAGTCAGAAGTTCCACAAGAAATGAATGATGGAAGATAAATAACAAAATATGGAAAATAGATTCTTTTAAATCTATAAACATGTGAAGGAGGAAGGTCATTGGTTAAATAAAAAGAAACTGCTTGGCCCTCATTGATTAGAAGATAGGTGGGAGGAGTAAACAGAACAGAATGCTGGGAGGAAGAGGAAGTGAGCTCAGACTCCACAGCTCTCCTCTCGGCAGCAGACGCCTCAGAGAGATGCCATGCTCCCCTCTCCCGGGCAGACGCACGTGATGAAGCAAGCCGCCAGGTTAGACATGCTGAATCTTTCCCGGTAAGACTGGTGATCACAGATTATTAGAGATGGGTTGATCGGGATGTGAGAATTAGCCTGTAAGGGCTAGAGCTAAAGGGCCAAGCAGTGTTTAAATGAATACAGTTTCAGTGTAATTATTTCGGGCATAACTTAGCCAAGCAGGCAGCTGGGGTGTTGGGGACGCAGCCCCAAAACCCATATTACTATAAATGGCGCCCGACGTGATGGATTAAACCCACTTAAAAAACCTGAGAAAGCTTAAAAATAAGGGAGAGAGAGTTTAACACAGATTTTTGCTGTTTGTTGGTGGCGTGCTGTAGAGAGATTTCCTGATTCGGCAACAGCAGCAGAAAAAACGCTGTGTCGTTTTAAAGCGCAGCTTCTTGGGGCTGTGCTGCCAGCATGAACTCTGGCTTTAAAGCATTTGTGGCACTCTGCTTGCTAGAGGCAAGCAAGCACTCTCATCTAAGAGAAGCTTCCTGACTCAGCTTTAGCTGCAAAACCCTGCAGCTCATTAAGAGATCCTGCCACGAAACACTTAAATGGTGTTGACGAAAAGCTGAACACATGCTTTTCGGTTTTCAGCTGTAGCAGGAAAAAAGCTGCGCCATTTAAAAATGCCAGCTTCCTGGGCTGTCCTGCCAGGGCAAACTCTGACTCTTTTACGCAGGCGGTCCGTGCAGTTTGCAAGCACAGGCTGCTGAAGCTCGCTTGCTGGCAGGGACCTTGAAATGCCATAGAGTTGTGGCAGTAAACATGGCTACAGCCAGTACCTCAGCCATGAGGCTGGAAAGCTAAGGAATGGGCTGGATCCAGCCATCAAAGCCACGGCTTTTGTCCTACTGAGATTGCTTGGTAAATTAAAGATTCATGTGGTCAGAAAAAGAGAGATTCAAAGACAAAGAAAATTTCTAAATGGTTTACAGTGTTTTAAAAATATATGCAAACTAAAAGTTGAAGTTCTTAAAGTAAAAAAACAAAAAAAGGAAGAGAGTTGTTGTGTGTGGTAGTACACACCATTAATCCCAACACTTGGGAGGCAGAGGGAGATTGACCTCTGTGACTTCAAGGTGTGGTAGCACATGTCTTTAATCCCAGTGCCTAGAAGGCAGAGACAAACAGATCTCTGTGTGTTCAAGGTGTAGTAGCATACACCTTTAATCCCAATGCCTGGGAGGCAGAGACAGGTGGATCTCTGAGAGTTCAAAAACAGCCTGGTCTACAGAGTTATTCCAGGACAAAGAAATACGCTCAAAAAGCAAAAAGTTAAAAGTAAAAATAAACGAAATAGAGTTTAAAACAAAGCTGCACAAAGATGGAAAATCCACAGAGAATTTTGATACTGTATGCTATTATGCTCTGTTTGAATTGTTTGAATGCTGAGGAAGGAGCAACAGCTGCTAAAAGATATTTATTTATAAATGCTGCTGAACTAATCCAACATAGATATTTTGATGCCTTGACTTTGAAATTTGGGCTTTGAAAAGGAATTACTTATTTTGTTTTCAAAGAAGATCAGACCCTGTTCGTTTCTTCTATTCCAATTTGGTATGATGGACCACACCCTCCTGAAGGGTTGGTGTGAACACCTTCAGAAAATTGCTTCACTCAACTGCCAACTAAGATGAAACTAGCACACAGGTTATACCATGAAAGACCTAATTAACAACGCCCCCATTCAGCAGGAAGCAGTTTGGAGAGAAATAACGGTGCCCATATTCCCAAAAAATGTTTATAAATGTTCTTTTATATTTAAAGGGGTATATGATATAGGTATGAATAATTTGCATTAATATAGATTTTGCTTTATTGATAGAGATTTACGGTCAATTTTGTTATATGTATATGTATTTCTGATATTGATTAAGGTATTGGGATTGTGTAGTTCATTATTAAAATGTAATGTATAATTAGGAAATATAGGTTGTTGATGGATAATCATAAATAATAGTCAAGTTTGTAGTCATGTTAGTTAATATTTTCTAGATGTGCGTAGATATATTTTAGATAGGCATTCTTCATATTTTTCAAAGATTATAGAATATGGCATTTTAAATGTTTTAATAACTTAGGACTTTTCATGACAATGAGACACTCTGCTCCTGGCAGCACCAATCTACTTCAAGAGGAAGATGGGCATCAAAGAGGCTCGTTATGGAGTTTGATAGCCATTTGGGCAAGAATCTGTGCCTGGACTATTGCATAAACTGGTCACAGAGAACCCACAGAGAGAGGACTACTGAACTTGCCTAAGGTGAGATGATCTTTCGGGGTTCCTGATTCATGAAAGAGTCTGCGAGACATTCTGCAGGACACAACAGATAGTAACTGAACTGACTTTGAATTTTCCTGCTTTATGGAAATGTCTGCTGGAAACCATGGGCCTGAAGGCAGAAGATGGATGCTCCAACGGTACAGAGGAACTTTGGGTGACTGTCCAGGCAGCAAGATGTCTCTGTCATTTCTAGAGTTTTAAAAGTTGCTTTTTTCTTGTTTGATTAGGTAGTATTGTATCTTTCTGGAGTCTTTGATGGAGTTAAGAATAGTTAGTTATAGTTATAGTTTTCCTTAGTTATGATAAAGACTATTGTAACTTTTACTTGATAACTGTTTCGTTATATGTAATTTTGCTATGTTAAAGTTAAAGCTTTTTTGTTGTTGTTGTTGTTTAAACCCAAAAAGGGGAAATGATGGAGGAAGGTCATTGGTTAAATAAAAAGAAACTGCTTGGCCCTCATTGGTTAGAAGATAGGTGGGAGGAGTAAATAGGACAGAACGCTGGGAGGAAGAGGAAGTGAGCTCAGACTCCACAGCTCTCCTCTCGGGAGCAGACGCCTGAGAGAGATGCCATGCCCCGCTCCCGGGCAGACACGTGCCATGAAGCTCCGACCCAGGATGGACTAGTCTAGAATCTTCCCGGTAAAACCAGTTCTCAGAGATTATTAGAGATGGGTTGATCGGGATATCAGAATTAGCCAGTAAGGGCTAGAGCTAAAGGGCCAAGCAGTGCTAAAAAGAATACAGTTTCCGTGTAATTATTTTGGGTAAAGCTAGCCATGGGGGCGGCCAGGTGCCGGGGGGCAGTGCTTAAAAGAATACAGTTTCCGTGTAATTATTTTGGGTAAAGCTAGCCATGGGGGCGGCCGGGTGCCGGGGACGCAGCCCCGCCGCTCTTATTACTAAAAGAACCTTTGTTAAAACTGCCTATCTGTGAAATGCCTGAACAATAATTGGCCTATAACTAGAGGGGAACCTAAACTCCTCACTCTCATGAGATACTTGCCTTAAAACAGAGAATATTGAGCAATCTTGAGACATATTTTGACATATTTGCCTAAATTTCTTTGGCATAATCAAGTACTACTGAGGATTAGGATTAAATTTATATGATGGAAGAAATATTCCACATTACTAAATTGTCCAACCATCTTACATTAGAATGATCTCAGAAATATGCAAAAATATTTCTCAGATTTTGCCAGAGTAATATAGAGATATACAGAATGCAAATGTCATATTGATATACCATAAATCTGTGCATCAATTTTCCCTCATCAGAGATGCTTCTTTATGAACTCAATGAGAAATAAAAGATGATATCGAGGGTTTCTTCCTATATTGCTTCACAGAATGTTGAAAACATGCATAACAAAATCAAAATGAACATAATCCATGAGAGGTTAGACATGCCCTACATGCTAAAATGTCCTAGAACCGGAGACTAAAATGTTCACAGATATAGGCAAGAAATATTTTCCTCTCACTGCTAAATGAATATAAATTAACTGTGTCTTATTAAATCTCACATGCCTATTTGATAGAGACACAATAAAAAAACTCAGATGGAAAAGACCTCTAAATGGGACACAGTGGTAGAAAAATATACATATGCTTGGGAGAGAGGATAAAAGTATACGGACAGCCATGTTCCGCTCTTCCGGGCAGATGCACGCGATGAAGCAAGCTGCCAGGTTAGACATGCTGAATCTTTCCCGGTAAGACCGGTGCTCACAGATTATTAGAGATGGGTTGATCGGGATGTGAGAATTAGCCTGTAAGGGCTAGAGCTAAAGGGCCAAGCAGTGTTTAAATGAATACAGTTTCCATGTAATTATTTCGGGCATAAACTAGCCGAGCAGGCGGCTAGGGTGTTGGGGACGCAGCCCCGCCGCCCATATTACTACAAACATGTATGTAAGATTGTTAATAACATGCATTTATATTTTAAATATAGCAATTAATTGACTTTAGAAGCCAATAATTCTGAAAGCTATTTAGATACTAAAAATACCCCAGCCACAGTGATGAAGATATGGTCTATGGACAAACTCATTATAGTTCATAAGGAATTGCCATAAAATAGCCAACACTGACACAATATTCATTTAGAAGAGCAAACACAGGGAACTAAAATTTTCACTCATGTTTTAAACCTTAGGACAAATTTGTTAAGTTACTAGGATAAGGTATATTTAAATATAGACTAGTGACATGAAATCAGGTGCTCCAAATGAACACTTAAATACATTTGTGTATATGTTTATGTATGTGTAAAGGTTCTGCTATATGTGCAAAATTGTAGAGAGACAAGGTCAACAATGGAGATCTTCCTCCTTCCAATTTCAGCTTACTTTCATTGACACAGATTTTGTCAGGGATCCTAGAGACTACTAGCCCTTTAGACTGGTTGACCAATTCTGATAGTATAATGGGAGTGTGTGTGTGTGTGTGTGTGTGTGTGTGTGTGTCTAAAATATCATTGAATTTCAAAATCTTCTGATATTTGCAATGGCACAAGTTGATACAATATGAAAATTGAGATCCTCACTCAACAACACATAAAGTACACTTAAATTTCCCATATACCAATACAGATCTAGATATTAAACTTAGTGAAGATAGCAATTATTACAAATTAATTATTGTAGCATTAATAAAAGAAATGGTAATATAGAGGCAGAAATGACTGAAAAATATTACAATTAGCAGAAATATGTATTTAGTGAAATGAATTATATACTCAAAAAGGACTGGTGACACAAATATAGGGTTTTGCTGGAACAATAATTGCCAATGTGTTAATGTGTTGTCAGAAGACCCAGAATCAGAAAAGGGAGTGGCATATAAATCCCATGTCTATATCATCACCTATCTCTTAAAACCCGTCACTCTGCTAGCTCAATTTTACAGTATGATATCTCCTATGTATAATAAATAAAAATAAATTGATAATAAATAGGACAGCAAGTACCAAATAATAATAGACAAAAATGAAATAAAAAGTCTAAATTTAAAACAGTTGCTGACATACCTAAATAAAAAGACAGGTCAATCAAGAGACTTAAGTATTTTTAAATATCACATGGGATAAGTTATCAGAAAGCATAAAATATTCTACCACTCTAAATTTAAAAAATAAATATGAGAACTATATACATAATATTATGACTTGCCATTTCTGACAAGCAGTTCTATTAGGATTAAACAGGTAAATTTACAAAATAAATAAGTAGAAACTCTAAAGATGGTCAAAATGACAAGAAATCAGTATTTTACACTGTCTCAAAATTATCTAAAACATAAATTATGTAATCGATAAGAGGAGATTGCACACATTTTGGAAGATACCCTGACAATCAGGGGCCATGACTGACTAAAAAGAACATCAGAGCCAGTCAGGAGAAAACACCTTTCCGATTGTTGGTAAGGCAGCCCAGGGGACTACTAAGCGAATTGTCTGTTAGTACTGACCTTTGTTGCTTCCAAGAAATGGAAGTAAAGTGCCTATTATTGAAACACTGTGTTTTTGCTATGGAACTATAAAAATTTGAACAGGAATTACATAAAAACCTGGAGCCTGAGAATTAACTATCACAGACCAGGAATTTCTTATGAAAGCTGTCACAGAAAAACAAAAAAGGATTCAATTGTATAATTTAGTTATTATACCTTTGAATGACAATGACCAACATAGCTAGTTTTCACTAAAAATGCACTACTGGTTCATATATCTTATTAATAACTAATATCTAATAATTGTATTCAAGTCTACTTAAAAAGAGGTAAAGAATGCCTAATGCTGCAAGCCATAAACATGGAAGGGATAGTGAGTATATGTAACTTATTAGCCCTTACCACCACTTTCAAAGATATTATAGTATCTAATAGCATTACAATTTTATGATTTCATCCACTTAATACTTTAGAACTAGGAACAACAAATGTATTCAAGAGGTTGTGCTTATATAGTGTATGTGTGTTTGTGTGTGTGTGTCTGTGTATGTATAAATATATAAAATAGTTTTGTCTGTATATATATATATATATATATTAAAAATAATTAATTAGAAGGTAATGAAATTGAGATTGAGGTAACTCAATAAGAGTTTGAGAGACAATAATGGGGAAATTATGCAAATAAACAGGTTTTTTATTAAGTTCTTATATTTTTAAATATAAAAGGGAAGTATATATCACAATAGGTAAGAAATACTGTTTCAGCAGAAAAGGAGAAAAAGAGAAAAGAATTGAAATTAAAAAAGCAAAACTCATATGAATGTATGAAATCTTTATATTTATAAAGAAAGATCAATCAAAGATGAAAAAAATACTCAAGATAACAGGTCATGCATTGAACTTGAATATTATGAATTTAAAGGGACATTATACCTAGAATCCAAAAGGTTCAGTATGTCCCCAAAAGTTAGAAAGAAAAAATACAAGTGGATGCCACTTCATTGAACATTTACTGGACATTGTCTTAAGAGAAATGACTGGAGAAAATTAACAGTAGTTGTTTCTATAGCAATAACATAAACTATGTCTAATTAAAATTAATAGGATGTAATATTTGCAGAAATAGACATATACAAAATATGGACTAATAAATATACCAGCAAACATACTACTACATGAAAACATAAAAATATGATGGAATGTTATATGCAAGAACTGTAATTAAAAAGAAAAGAGAAAAATAAAACAAGATTTACATTACCACCAGCTAGGTGTGGTGAGTATGTCTTCAGTGAAACCTTCTGAGAAGTTGGGGAGAAGCACTTCCTGCATGCTTGAGTCTGAGATTATCATGAGCAATCTTGTGAGACCCTACATCAGGATTATAAAATAAACAGGAAAATATTTAGGGATAAATATTGAGAAACTGCACGCTTAAACTTTTCATAGGATAAGTAAGATCTACTTAAGGTTTAGAAAGCTCAAAATTTTTAGAAAAGTAGTTTCAATAGTATTATGACTGCAATATTCACTGGCAATATAGCTATTACATACAGTGGGCATACAGACCTCCATTTATGCCATTCTTTTCTTGCAATGTTCAAAACTTTTCTAAAATTTGTATAGAACCACAAGAAATTCAATATTGATGAAACTGTCCTGAGAATAAGAACAAGATAAGAGCATTCCACTCACACTGCCTGCTTTCAGATGTGCTGAACTATGACACAACACACATGATTATAAACATATCTGAGATAAATTAAGGGCTCAAAAATGTCATTTACTGCTAATAATTTAACTTATCTTATAAATTGCCAAAAGAGATACTAGGTGAGCAGCCATAGATTTTATTGAGAGAGAGAGATAAATGTCATCTATGCTCTCTCTCTCTGGGATGGGTCTAACTTAATGTATTTCCACATTTATCTTCCCTAGCAAGGGGTGCTGGAGAAATATATATTTCCTAAGGAAAGAATAAGAGGAGGCCTGGCATCAATCAGCTTACTGAAGAATATAGTTATGAAATTTGATGTACACTGGTGCCATCTAGAGTTTCACATAGACTATAGACAAGTAAATATCAAAATCAATGCTCAAAAGACAAATCTTTTCTTTCATATAAAGATAAAGCAAAGAATACTGGAGAAAATGTACTTCATTCAAAAGATTTGAAAAAAAAATCATTTTAACAAGGGAAGCACGCACACACACAAATGGTTTTGATTACTTAATGGTCAGCACTTAAAATATAAACATTAACAATAGACAGACCAAACAGGGTGTCTTTAGTTATTAAAAATATGTATGTACATTGATACAATTATGTACATAAAACATCAAAGAAGGTTTTAAATGGACATGAATTTTAATGAGAGTAAAAAGGGGTCTATAGGAGGGTTTGCATGAAGAAAGCATCAGGTTAAATTTTGAAATAATATTACAATTTCAAAAGTTAAAAAAAATTCAAGATATAATAATAACTGCACCTTGAGATACTTTCCTGATATTTATCTTTCCCTAGTGAAACATGAAGAAAAGTCCATTCATCCTTGAAAGGGCATCTATAAAATTAAAAAAAAAAGTTTTTAAATTCTAATTTGTTAATAACTGTTTTTACTGGAATTACAGATATAATTCAGGCACATGAATCAAGGAAAATCTCAACCCAGCAATGGCAATTACTTGGGGCAGCTACAGGGCAAAACCTTCTCTGCAATAACAGCTAGCATTTCCACCGAAAAGATCCAAGTACCACAATAATCATTTCTATGTTTACAAATAGGCAAATTTAAAAAAACCTTTTCAAACATTTGCCTGGACAGTCAATCGAAGTTCTTCTGTAACATTGGGGCATCTGATGTGGAAGTTCCATCTGTATTCTATGAATACAATTGATAAATAAAGAAACTTCCTTAGCCTTTTGATAAGGCAGATCTTAGTTAAGAGGGAAAACTAAACTGAATCCTTGTAGACGGGAGGAGGAATAAGGGAGAAATGATGTAGTCCCTGCCGGAGACAGATACCGGACAGATCTGTACCCTGTAAGACACAGCCACATATATCAATCAATAATTAAGAAAATGCTTTATACATCATGCTAGCAGCTAAAAGTGGAAATATACATGCTACCTAGGTGGTTCTGGTATTGAAGGCATAAAAGGGTATTGGAGAGCACTGGATATTTTTCATTGTGTATCACAGATAGTCTCCCTGTTACTGGCCCAACATTACTATGCATGTGCTGTCTTATTTATTTTCAACCTGACACAGTCTAGAGTCATAGGAAAATGAAAATTCAATTGAAAAATACCATCATAAGAAATTGCTGTAGGAATCCTATAAAGAATTTTCTTAATTATTGATTGATGGGGGAGTATCCATCAAACTGTGTATGATGTAACCCTGTGTTAGTGGTCCTAGGTTATTTATAATTTTGGCTAGGCAACTATGAGGAACAAGACAGTAGACAGGATGCTTCAATAGCTTCTGCATCAGTTAAACAAGTTATGGCATACTTAGTAGTATTTAAAATGTTTTAAAAAACAATTTAATGAGTCAATTGGGAATACTTCATTTTTATCTAAGGAAGAAAAGTAACTACTCTATATAACCACATACATATTTCTTAATATATAATATTCTTCATATTTGTACACAATTTGTGTTTGTGTGTGTGTGTGTGTGTGTGTGTATGTGTGTGTGTGGTCTATGTAAAAACCATTTACATAACTGAGGAGCTTAAATGAAGCAAATATAGCAAATCAATATATGTGCTGTCTTTTGATCAGACAATGTGAGAGAATTCCTTCCACCATATAAATGATTCCATATATTTTCTGTGGGGAAATAATGCATGGGTGACTCTGCATTTCTTATGAAAGTCTCACATTCTTGCATTAAAAATTTGTTTCTCCACATATATTGCAGGTTTGAAACATATCTTATTGCTGGATTTCCAGAAGAGGGCCAAATGAAATTTTGTATTTTTTGTTTGTTTGTTTGTTTGTTTTGGTTTTGATACATGGGAATATGTGCATGATCCTCACAGGAAAAAATACTGTTATAATAACATACTCTTCAAATTAGACAGATACATAGCTAGATGCTATAATTTTTAGAATTAACTATGTATGTCTGTAAGGTGTCATTTCTTTAGAAACACCATATGAAATCAGCTAGAATATCCTGCACATTTTTTAAGAAAATTATTGAATAATTTCAAGAATGCCACAAAATTAATTCATCCACTACTTGTAAGGAGTTATTAATAGAAAATTTAAATATGACTAAATAAAAACGAATGCTTACAATTTTATGCTATATATTTAAGTGAAAATAAACTGAACTTTATCAGTAAAAAATGCACTGTACTCACCTTTCATGTCCCAAGGTCATTGACATTCCACACAACATCAAATGGAGTAAATCACTTTCCTGACCAGAATCTTTGGGAAAGAGAGATAAAATAGTTAAGTATCACCACTGTACCTCTCTCACCTCACAATCCATACAGAAATACAAATGAACCACTACTTAGTTCCAGAGTGAGAGTGACCATCTAGAATCTATGTTGCTTAGTCCAAACCATGACATAAGGTAGGCTTTGAGAACTTTTCCAGATTCCAAAAAATGATTTGTCCTTCAGTTCTTGTGTTTTCTCTATATACTACCTCAGTTTCCTTTGTTTTCCACTAACTTGTTTTGGTTACTGTGGAGGGTCAGTTTTGAACTGCATAAAAACTCTGTGCAAGGGTGACTTGAGGTATCATTCTTGCTGGCATGCTTAGAAAACCAAGTTAGGGGGAGGCAAACCTCTTTCATAGGTAGTGTGCCTCGCCAATAGTCTGTCCTTGAGAACACAGATGTGCACCGTAGTTCAAAGGTTCTGATTAGGTTGTGGTTTATCTCATGATGCGTTGTTTTTCATATTATATTACAGCAAAAGTTATTCCCATAACAGCAGGCATTTTTGTTTAGATTAACTAGGGCACAAAGCTCTTGAAATTAGTTGCAACAAGGTTATTAGTTTATGTAACTATTTCCATGTATTATGGGAACCTAGTTTGACTTGTGATTTTAGTATTTCAAAAGAGCACTGGCTTTGCAATGAAGTATGCAGTTGTATCTCCTACTCTGCATCTCCTGTGTCCTGATTTCTATGGCACTACCCAGGGTCAACCATAACCGAGGTAGTTGGGGAAGGGTCCCCAACAATTGGCACCCAAACAGGGACTCTGAAAGAACATTAGGAGTGCAAGATAATAATGTAAGTAATTACAGGGTAATGGGACAAGCTAACTCTTCTCCACTTCCGTCTATGCTTAAACATTTGCTGAAAACTCATGGCGCTCATATATCTATGTCAGACTTAGAGATGTGTCTTGAAATTATCAAAGAATATAATCCTGGGTTTTTCTTGGATGAGAATTTAATGGATATAGGAAACTGGGATCGGGTTCAGATGAATGTTGAGAAGGCTGTGAAGCAAGGTGAAAAAGTACCGGTGTGCTTTTCATCTGTATGGTCTCTTGTTTACATAGTTTTTAAAGCCATGCAGACTGAGAAGCCAGCAAAAGACTTAGCATCCGAGATGTGTGCTCCGGTGAAAAAGTTACAGGTTAGTGAAGAAATGCAAACTGAGATTGAAAAAGATTCCTAGTTAGTTGAGAAGTCAGTTAAGGTTACTCAGAAGGATAATAAAGTTACTAAGGAGAGGACAAATAAGTTAGAAAAACAGCTGGAAAATTGTTAACTATCGCCAAAGATAAAGTGAAAGAAAAATCGTCGGCTCCTTCACTATGGAGGCAATCATTTAAGGCACTTGCAGTCAGGGGATATGCAGAATCTCTGGATTCCTCTGATATTGACTCAAAAAAAAACAAAGGAAGAAAGAAAGAAGGAAGGAAGGAAGGAAGAAAGAAAGATAGAAAGAAGAGAAAAAAGAAAGAAAAAAAACATATTGCTTAATTACTGCCTTTACCTTATTTGGCTATTGGTCAATCTTCTCCTATAAGGACAGGAGGTGCGGTAAGTATATTTCTGGAGTATCATCAGTCATGTGGTGTAAATACAAAAACGAGGTTAGCTGTGCAGCACGAAAAACAAGTAAAAAGTAACTCGAGTATAATTGTAAAATAAGAAGTAGCTTGTATATAAGGGTTTAAAAAAGTAAAATGAATATGGGCCAAGAAATCAGCCAACAGCTGTTTGTACATTTACTTATAGATTCTTGAAAGGTTAGGGGGACTAAGGAAGGACAACAGCAGTTGCTTCAGTTTTTGAAATGTATAAAGGATGTGTGCCCCTGGTTCCCTTCCCAACGGAGTATAAATCTAGAGATTTACAAAAGGTGTGTGGGAAAG